TGAAGTTCTACTTATATCAGAGATGATTCCCCTCCATCCCAAAAGATTAAGAAAAAAAAATGGTAGAAATGAAAGGAAAAAAAAAAAAAAAAAATCTATAATGAAAAGAATGTTTAGTAGGTCCTGTCTGTTTAAAACTACCAGAGCATTAGCACGGTAAAAGGAGAGAAACCTGGCTTGGAAAAAAGCCCATAAAAAGTAAGCAATCAACCAGCCAAGATAACTGTCAAATGGTTCTTGCAAGCGAGTCAGTGATACATGCGGCGATGAGAGCTGAGTTGTTAATAGGCAGAGAAAAATAAATAAGGAAAAAATACATTTGTTATTAGCAAGCAGTTTTATTGATTTCTTTTCCTAATGGCGAAGGTAAAAAAAAAAAAAAAAATGATTACTTAATTTAGTATTGCTTCTAACTTTGAAAATAGTTCTTAACATACTCAAAATTGTTCAAACAATTGAACCTCCTCTTTGTATACTTGGTTTTGACTAATCCATTCTTCAGCCCTTTTCTCTCATAGTTGAACTCCTTTCAGACTCCCGGCCCTAAAATAATGTTTACAGGGGAAAAAACAAACAAACAAAAAACTCATTAACACCGTTTTTAAGACAATGAACAGAAAAAGAACTTTCCAACTACAACAAACATGAGGGACAGCAGGTTTAAGGTCAGAAAAGATTAAAAGAATTTATTTTAATTGTAAAGCTGTTTCACAACCATCTTACTAGAATTGATCCCTTATGAGAGAAAAGTCTGATAAAATACTGCATTTATAACATTCCTAATAAGTGTGGTAAGGTATACAAGTCTTAAAGTCAGACTTGAGTAATATAAGAAAAATACAGCCATTTTTATGTTGAAAATTTTATATTTACCTGGAAGAAAGATGCTTATCAAAAAAGAATACACTTGATGATAATTGAAGATTTGATGAGCAGAAATGTATTAACACCACCAACTATTTGAAGAGATTCAATTGTCTGAACAATATTGAGTATATCAAAATTATTTAAGTCAGTGGAAATATAAACCTATGAAATGTTATAACAGTACTAAGTTATAAACTGTGGATTTCGAAAACAAAATATTTCAGGACTTTTTCATTTTTGTAAAAATCTCAAAGCTAGAATTGTGATCAACTTTTTACTCTTAAATTTTTTGACCTTTAGTAATTTGTTGGCAACTTTGTTTAGTGAATAATATCTGATCACTGAATTGTAGTATTTGAATTTTATGGATAGTTGTCATGTTTGCTACATGCAGCAAGATTGGGTTCAGATGATTGGTAGAAAAGCTCTGATTGGCTCTTTGGTTAGAGACAAAAATTAGCCAGAGCCTCTAGGGGATAGGAAGACAAATAAGTTCTGAAGAACAAAATAGAAAACCTATTAATTTAAGTAGACCAGCCCAGTAGTTGGAGGTGACACTGAGGTTGTCATGTCCTGCTATGGCAGCAGCAAAAATGACCAAACTAAAAAAATATTAGCATTCTAGAAAAATAATGCAGGGGAATACTAGTTAATATTGCAGAAAGCTATAGGCTAATTTTTTTTTTTTTTTTTTTTTTTACAGTACAGTTAATATATGAAAGATGTTTGTAATTAAAGTCCAAGGACCATGCAGTACTAAATGAAATTCTTGTGCAGCCAAGTGCAAGAAGGAAAATAATATCTAGGCATGCTTTAAACAAACAATGCATGTTAACATGCAAGCTTAAAAGGTGTGTATCAGAGTTAACTTAGAGTTAAGTTTCATATTCTTAATTTCTTTATTATGTTTTCAATATAGAGAGAAAAAATAAAAATCTCAGCAAAATCCCTTTCTAAAATATTTACCGCCCACCTAAACTTGTCAAACCATCAACCGTTGTAGTCACTGACCGCCAAACAAAGCAAAAAAAGCCCCACATTTAGTTTGGAGTTATTTTGTCAGTCCATCCACAACTCTTCTCTCCAGTTACGGTACCAAGTAAACTAGCAGCGGGTTTCGTACAGTCCACTCCTGCCAATGTAACGCACCCATTTGATCACATCATGGTCATTGTAGTTCAGTTTAGATTCAAAAACCTTAAGATAACGCACTTTGAAGCCTGATGGAGCGAAAGGCACCTGAAAAGAAAAAAAAAAAAGATTATCAATACAGTTATGTTGCTCTCTTTAATTATAAAACCAGCTATTGTTTTGCTTGCCTTATGGGATCAAAGTGATCATGCTTGATTCAAATTCAAAATAAAATTTTTGTTAGATCCCAAATACTGATAAAAGGAGAGCAGTGAATAACTTCTTTGCTAATGAGGTTGCCAGTACCAATTTAAGGCCCTCTTATAAACATAACCAAAAATGTAAATAGCCTGTCAAATTTGAAAAAAAAAGAAATATAATGTGAGGTGCTAAGGGTCCTTTCTGTCTATATGATAAAAGGAACTGATTCCAGTATCACATGTCTAAAAATAGATAATGAAGGAAAACTGTAAGCAAATATGGAAATAGATCCGATTGTTATGAAGAAAATATATACGGTAAAACAAACAAAAATCACATTATTTACAATTATCGTCTTTGTCATGTTCTTTGATAATGTTATAATTTGAATATATCCTGAAGATGGTTTATTGTAAAAAAAAAGCGTCAGGTGCGTGGAATTATTAACATGAAACCCTTTAATTGTATATCAGGATTTTTTGTTTTTTCCGATATATTGTTTTCATGGATGGATTATCAGTTATGTTTTGTAATTTGAAAGTTCCCCAGAAGATCCTTAAACATGACACAGTGGAATTTTGGGTCCCTGTCCTTGATCTAACCAAGGCACTACTTTATTGCCAGACACATGCAAGGAATTTCAGGTATTATAAACATAATGTCCCAGCAAATTTAAATAGTGCTCATATTGCAATTTTGCTAATATAATGTGAGGTTTTTTTTTTACCAGAGTCTATATTGCAACTTTGTTGTTACAATTGGATTTTCTGGTACTCCTTATTACTCAAAAATATTGTATTTATTTTTTAAACACGGCTCAGGAGATTTTTGTGGTCTAGCATATGTGCTGATTCCTAAGTTTGAATTTTCCAATGGTGTTCCTTTTTGTCTATGATCTGAACATGATCCCACAGAGAAAGCGGTGATCTCCATCTCTCTCCATATCGTGGTCATGCCACGCCTGATTTTTTTACTTCCCCTCGTGTTACAGCCATTTGGTGTTCTTGAAGGCTTACCTTGAGGGGCGGCCTGTCTCTCCTTTTATATTCCTTTTCTAAGCTGCACGGGATAGCGCTTATTACACAGTCTTTAGTCATGTTCTCCTCTATGGGGATCTTACTCAGGAGAATATCTGCGAAGTGTTGTTCAGCTTTTGAAGGTTGTCCTGATGTTATATGGACCGCAGATCCTTTGTATTTGCTCTGATAACCCCTTCACATAATAGGCAGAATTTTTTCTGAGTTGTTGTCATCCTCCTCTTTGTACCCACCTTTCCCTGCTGCCATGTACCCAGGGTAGTTATTACATTGTAGGGTACTACTTAGACTGACCAATTTTTATCTGACGTCTCTGGATCGCCACTTATGACTTTTGCTTGGTGTTGTAAGCAACTTTTTGCCATCTTTCTTTACTCCAGTGGAGTTGAAATTGAGGTACTGTCCGGTGAATGTCGGTTGGTATACGGATGTCTATAACCCATGCTCTGTATAGATATTAGAACATCCAGGAATGGGGACATCTCTTTTCCTGAACTGTATCGAAGGTCTTATTGAGTTCACATGGTCAGTAGAACCTGAACATTTTTCTGGTGAGCCATATATCTGGTGTCATCTTACCTTAACCATATAGTTGGCTTTTAGAGATATAGATTCTAATGCCATTTCCTCAAAGTATTCCATGTATATATTCAGTTTTGCTGGTGATAATGGGCAAGCCCATTGTTCAATCCCTTATCCTGTTGATATATGTGATCCCATTCCGAAGGGTGTGTTGTTTGTGTACAGAAAGTCAACATCTCCATCAGATTATCTATTGGAATACTGGTCCGTTCTTCTAGGGAAGAGTCAGAGGTAAATCTGTCTGACGACTCAGAGTGCCTCCTCCGTGGGTACCTTGGAGAACAAACTCAACGTCCAAGCTCACCATCTGGTTGGATAGGATGGGAGCATTTGATTATTTCCACGAAGTGGGCAGAGTTTCGGACATATGAAGGAGACTTTTAATCAATGGGTCAATTATATCTACAAGGAATATTTAACTCAGAGGTGGCACACAGAGCCTTGGCAGCTAACAATCAGCCTGAGCAGAATACCGTCTTTGTGAATCTTAGGGAACCGTATATGTGAGGTATCTTGGTGTAACATTGCGATAACCTCCTATATGTCTTATGTGTGAAGTGATCAGTTTTGTAACATTAGAAAAATTGGTTTGGCGTTCCAAGGTCTGAGGTCCTTTTTTTTTGTACTCAGAGGATAAATTCAGTTCATCTGCAGTTTTCCTGAGGGATGTTCAAGGCCACCTCCTCAACTCTGGTAATGATGTCCAAGATATGGACAACTGATAACTGACATCCATCAAACATGACATGTGGAACTAGGGCAGTCTATCTCTCAGTGAGAAGAAAATAAAGGGTTCAGTCAGAAATTCCAACCACCTGAAGAAGGTTCAAGGCATAATTCCAAACACCATTGATAAATATGGCAACAAAAGATGAGGACAATAGAAAAGCCAAAAAATAATGTACATAAATCGTCATCTCAGAGATAAAGACAGAAATGCACATCTAACCATTAATATTTCAGCAGGATTAACTCATTACAAAAGAGTAAATAAATTATATTGTATTTCAGACACTATTTTCCTTTTTAATTTTAATCTAGGTAAAATTATCTTTTTGATTTTATTTAATTTACTGAATTATATTTACTGGTAATGCACATGAAAAATTCATTTTTCCTATTTTAATTATCTGAAGAATCTTAAGTTAATAACTGAATAAGTTCCTTGAGAGTTGTACAACTATAAAATGCTCATGAAAATTCCCTTGTTAAATATTTGCACTTAACAACTTTAACAAAATATTACAATAACAATCATAAATATCAATGCAGGTCATTAAGATTAAAAATGACAAAGTTTTCCAAATTCTCTGAAGAAGACATTAAACATGAGTCCTCCTATATCTCCCCTTTCCTTTTTTTTAACTCTTTCTTAAAACCTTTGATACATATTTTCTTGTCTACCCTGACAATCAAACAAGAATGGGTCATTGTTCAGAGATGGTAGCAGCGTATAATGTACATGCTAACTAAACACAAAAAATTATAATATGGTAAAAATGAGTGTGATCAGAATATGATGCAAAGTCATGAAATCTCAGAAATAAAGAATTACCTCCTTTAGATATCTTTATTTTCAAATTCTGATTCTCAAATTTTAAAATAAATCCAATTTCTCAAAACATTAGTATTGAATCAAATGTTTTTTAATATTGGAGGGCACCTTGCATTTATTGGAAATATTCATAGAAATATGAGTTAATTTTCCTTTATTCAGTTTATTAAACAGGTTGTTAATTTTTTTTTTTTAAAACGGAAAATAACTGGGTTGAAAATAATTCACTAAGAATGTACTAAACGATCCTAAAGCAAGGAAAAGAAAAAAAGGAAAAAGGAAGAAAGGAAAGATTTTAACAAAAGGGGAAAGAAAGGAAAGACATGATATCAAAAATTTAATCATTGGACCAGATGTCGGTCGAGCCTCTGACTGAATTTAATTTTGGTTTGAAAGAATATTTTTGTCAGCAATGGGTCGATTATTTGTAATGACATTTTCGTAAAAAAAATTCTTATCAAAATAAATTTAGGTCTTTTTAAATTAGAATAATAGAAATGAATTTTACTTTAGTCAGTTTTAAAGTGTCTTTGGGTTGGGGAAGTGACTTTGAAAACGATACACGGAATTGACCTGTTAAGAATTGGACACCCACGTTAAAGAAAGTAGAGATATTTAGGCCTAGATAATTAAGATTTTCACTATCAGGTAAAACAAAGAGGTAAAAAGAAGAACAATTGCTTTTTTCTCATTTTTCAAGATAGGCGGAAAAGAACCTTTCTAAAAGTCAAGACTAATTAGCAGCGGGCTGTTTGACAAAGTCCAGGTGAAAGAAAGCTAAAGATTGTCATTTTATATGACGTGCAAAACAGGCGAAATCGGATTTTTTTTTTTTAAAAACCATATATATATAACCACACCCGCCAACAAAAGGGAAGGTGTTTTAACAATTATTTTCGAATACAATACGGACATTTGAAGAAGAAGGAAAGAAATTCGATCAATAACTGTTGGACGTTTTTAGGCGTCAACGCTTTTGGACGGAAAGAAGATTAAAGAAGGTCTGCTCGGGAACGATTGGTTGAGAGCGATCACCTGACATTAAGAGAGAGACTAAGAGAAATGGATAATTATTTCCCCCAAGAGCACTGTGAGAAAGTAGGGGTTAAAAATAATAACGTATAATGGAAAGTCAAAATTAATGAGTGTTTGAAATTATCGAGAAACTTCCTCTTTTCAGACCCACCCCAGTTTGTTGCGGCGTCAATATCTTTCAGGACCCCAGTCGGCAGAAATTATTTTTTCTTTGAGTTTTATTTTAGGAGGTTGGGCAGGGGAAGTTTTCTTTGAACGCGACATAATATGGAAACTGAATTTCTGGGAAAAAGAACCCTCAGACAGAAATCTTCAATAAAGTAGAAGAAGAAGAATCTTCCAGCCCAAACAGATGAAGAAGACATTGTTTTGAATGTAAAGAAGATTGGAGCTGTCACGGAAAGTCTTCGCTGAATCCTTCAAATGATTATTTTTAGCTTTTTTCTGACGGAAATTTGAAGAAAAGAAGTCTCAAACAATTTTTTTTCCAGCCCAAGTAGAAGAAGAAGAAGAAATTTTCTTCAAGTCGAGAGAAGAATCAACTGCGAATGATCGATAGAAATTAGCCCCAATGTCGAACTGAACCACACCGACCGACATACATACATGATTCTAGAAAGCTTTAATCCATTTTTTTTTCCTATTTTGTGATAGAAGCTTGGTGCCATAGTCCACAGAGCGGTCGGGAATTGAGAACA